GGCAAGGAAATTTCGGCCAGGGTATTCTCAATAAACATAGGGCCGGAATTCCTATGTAGAGGGTTCTATATATAGCTGTGGCTGTTAGGGTTTTCAGGTGGAAACCCTAATACCTTGCTTAGGCAACAAGTAGCCCATGGACTCCCTCTTTAGAGCCCTTGGACGAAATCTATTGGGCTTCCTAATAGGATTTCGTCCACTCCACTCTATGGAGTCCATCAACCCAATTTTGCAACTATCAATGATTTGCAAAACAGTCCCTCAATTATTAATCAGTTCCTTTAATCCCAAAATTAATACTAGATTAATTTCTGATTGATTACTAATTAATAATATGATTTCCACATAATATATTAATCTTGTAATATGTTAATAAAATCATTCTGAGTACCAATTTATTATTCATATAGTAAATTATACTCTCTATCCACTTGTCATCCTATCAAGTTGCATGAGTGAAGGCAACCCAAAAGGACCATGCTCATAATCAAATCAAGTACATTCCAAAAAATAGTTATGGGCTTAAACATTTAATCCAACAATAATAAGGGTACAATATACTCCAAATACACTGCTATGATATACTAAAAAGTAGTACAAGGCAAGCAAGGTCAAACCATAGAGACATGAGACAATAGTCTATACCTCTTTTTGTAAGGTAGTTTGGTCACAAAGGGGGGGGGGGGTGTATGCAAAATTTCAAGTAATGTAAATAACAATCTACTTTGAAAACATGCAAAAAATAAAATAGATTTGTAAGCAATGAATTAAACGGTTCCAGTTATAGTTCTTAATGTTGTCACTTAACATGATTATGCTTTGATGCAATTCATGATTACTATTCTATGGTGGTACTAAAAGATACTAACACGCCTAATACATATCGCTTGCTAAATTATATAATCAAAACACGCTCTTTGATTAAACCTAAATTCACTAATTCAACCCTAAACATGGTCTTGGATTGTATTAAGAAACTACATTAAGTTTTATACAAGCTTCTTAACAATGTTCATTTCTTATCATAAGCTTGAAAGTGTGAAAACATGTGATATATGTTCTACAATAAGAAATCTTATTGCTTGTTACCTCACATTAACTTTATAGAACGATTAGGTGACCTAAAAGTTCATTAAGCACACAAAAGCTCAATTCATATAAGTGGTCAATTAAACATAAATCAAATTCAAGGATTCTAGTTAAAACAAGAATACATTCACTAGAATAAAATCATAAACAAAACATCAATCCATATGCTTCACGTTAAACAATCAACATGTTTTGAACAAGAACTAGAACTATGTTTTTTAGCCATACATGGCTAAAAACAAATCAAACGAAGATATGAAAGTGAAAGTGTTCGATGTTTAGAAATTAAAATTAGTAGTGTTTTCAATGATTAGAAGTCTTCAAAAATCTCCCAAAATCCCCCCCTAAGTTCTCAAAAAATCGGCTCTATGAATCAATGAGCCAAATTCCTCTATTTTAGCACAAATAATAACCGTTATAGGGTGAAACACACGGTCTAGATGTCGATCGTGCCTTTTGAACTCATGCCCATGAGTTTCAGAACTCATGACCATGTGTTTTTGCACCAGACTGCGCTTTTTCCTGAAACTGCACTTGGCCTTTGATCTTCACTCTGCCTTCATTTTATCTTCAACCCAAGTCATGTCGCTCAAATAAACGACGAAAAAGACAAACACAATTCGTGTCGGTGTAACATGGATCGCGTTTTAAACGTAGTTCTTTGCTATGATGAAATGCAACGACTTGGTTATATCATCAAGTTTTATCAAGCAACACGTCCAATCCATCTTCTCTCTATGCTCCATCATCCAAGCTCCATTGCTCCATTCTCAAAATACCCGCAATGCCTAAAAGATAAATAAAAAATGGTGAAGTATCAGACATTCTGAATAAAACATGCTAGAACCCCAATTGTTAACTAAATGTAAGAATTAAAAAACTAAAATGCAATGATACATTGATCAACATTTTAACATTAATGTCTTCAACTATGACTATATAATGATGTACTTTAGGATGATGGAAGCGAAGAATGATTTTGTATCTATTTAAAAAACCAGTTTTCATTTTCACCAAAGATATAAAATCCCTATAACTAATATATTACTCAAATATCAAAACAAATTCAAAAATTCTCCTCGAGGACAAACATATTCCAGATTTCTCTCTATGAACTCCCACCTCCCGCCCGTTTACAATGCAAACAAAATATTCACTCATTTTAGTATAGAGAACCAAAACAATATTTTTACAGAAATAACTAATAAGCTAAACTTTTTTTTGCTTCAATTTATGTAAAATATACCCATTTGTACGAATTCATAGTCAACAATGTACGAATTCATAATCAACCTAACCAAATTCGTAGTCAAACCTAACTTAAAAAAAGAAGGTAAAATCACGAATAGGGAAGAGAGGAAATCGCAGATAGAACAAAAACCATCTGCGATTTAGTGTATGGATTGCAAAAAATTCGTCTTTTTATAACATTTGTCAAATAATAGATGAGATATAGCCATCTGGAATTTTAGTGACTATTTTGTAAAAAATGTTTTTTTAGCAAATTTGACAAATTAATAAATTTCTCTTTTTTACTTGATATCATCCCTAATAAATGAATATTTTTTTTGCCACATGTCTTCTACTCATTTATTTTGCCACATGACTTTTTATGTTTTTCTTTATTTTCCATTTGTCATTTTTTGGGGTTTTTGATTTTCTTACATTAAATTCTCAGTTATATATGGAATATTCTTATTCTATTCATGTAAAGTAATCATTATATTAATTTGAGAATAAATTTACATAAATGTTATTGATTTCCTTTCTTTTTTCAATTACTTCATAAAAATGTTTAATGTTTATATATTGATATTGAATTTTTATTTTTAATAAACCCGTATAGCATACATGTCTCACATCTAGTATACTAATACTAACGAATTAATAAAAAACTCTCAACAAAAGACTTTACTTATTTTAATGTATTTTTTTTAATTATAGACTATATTATATTAAATACCAATAAAACAAAACAATTAAGGATTAATGTTATAAAAGTCTTGAAGTTTTCAAGCAATATTTGGTTTTACCTTTTTAAATATTTTTAGTTCATTAACCGAAAATTTATATATATATATATATATATATATATATATATATATATATATATATATATATTTGCATTTTAGGCTTTTTAGAGGGTTAACCGGTTGCACACACATGGCGCTACAAAGTGTCGATGACTAGGAAAATTAGGCTGACATGCTGTCATGTCAGCGTATTGTTTCGTCTTACTGAAAAATGAAGAATTTTTGGGAAAAGAAGGGTGGGGTATTCGAAACTACGATCTATGAGTACTTAACACCAAAGGCTTACCATCACAACCAACTTAATTTTGTGTGATATATGCGGGACATTTATATATATTGTGATGAAATGCTGTAAACTTTTTTTTAATTATTCTTACTATTATTATAAACAAAAATCAAATGATGTATGCTACTAGTTTGTAACAAAAAAGAAACCTTTTTTGTTCTTTTTATTGTTGCTATCGTCTAGAGGCATAACCAAAAAAATATAAGACGCAATTTTTTATATTCTTGATTTATTCATTTGCCAAAACTCATAATTTTTTTTTTTGGTGTTTGATTACTTTTGTTCGTTTTTTAATGTATAAAATTCGTTATCAGATGTATACATATGTTTTCAAATATATATATATATATATATATATATATATATATATATATATATACCCGGTAAGAAAATTTTTTTGGTAGGAAGGTAAGAAGTTTTTTTTCTACATAATTTTTTGACGAACAAAATGAATGAATCACTAGATGATTCATTTGTAAGATGATTCATTTATAAGATGATTCACGAGAAAAAATTCCCAAAAAACATCTTTATGATTCATTTTTAAGTAATTAAGAAAAAATTCACTTTTATGACAATTTTAGTGAATAACAACAAAATCATTGTATAAATGAATCATCGAGATGTTTTTTTGAGAATTTTTTCTTGTGAATCATCTTACAAATGAATCATCTAATGATTCATTTTGTTTGTTCGCGAAAAAATATGTAGAAAAAAAAACTTCTTACCTTCCTACCAAAAATTTCATTCTTATTTGATCTTGACTCTCTCTCTCTCTCTCTCTCTCTATATATATATATATATATATATATATATATATATATATATATATATATATATATATATATATATATATATATAAACATTTTATTATGTAATTTATTTATAAAGACGTTTTTAAATAAATATTTATAAAGACATTTTTATACATTTATACATATAAAAAAGATATTTATATATTTAAATACTTATTTATAGAAATTTGTATTCATATAAAAAAACATATTTATACATATTATGTATTATAAAGGTATAAAAAACATTTATACATATAAAAAACGTATTTATAAAAAAAATTAATTTATACATGTTATATATTTATAAAGGTACATAAACATTTATGAAACATACAAATATTTTTATACATTAAAAATATACGTATGTATATAATAATAATAATAATAATAATAATAATAATAATAATTTTTATTTTTATTATGTATTCCGGAACTTGGTTATATTCACAAAACTTAGGAATGAGTACATCGAAGTTGTATTGGCTTAGTGGTAAAGTTGTTGCATTGTTTGTGGAATGTCGTGTGTTTGATTCCCGCCTCTGACTTTTGTTCGATTTTGTTCGATTCCCGCCTCCGACTTTTCTTATTAAGCTTGCTCTTTTTTGAAGAAAAGCCACCTCATCGCCTATGTGGCGCAATGTCAGCCTTGAATACACCGCCATTCAACTCCAACTTGAACGCTGTGACAGAGAGACCCTAAAACCTTCCTGCCTAAACCCTTCCCGCTTCCCCAAATCTGTGATCGAACCTCTCGAAATCTGTGATCGAACCTCAACCTCTCGATTTTGACTTGATATGGATTCGGAGGAAGAGCATGATCAAGCATACAACGATGACGAGGAAGAAGATATAACCCAAGAGGATTCTTGGACAGTTCTTATTTCGAAGAAAAAGGACTTGTTCGCCAACAACTTGACTCATTTGATGAGTTTATTCAGAATACTATGCAAGAAATTGTGGACGGATATGCAGATATCGAGATCCGACCTGAATCCCAACACAATCCGGGGCACCAGCCTAATTGTGCGGAGGTTCGTTTTGGATCCTGTTTCTGTATATTGTTGAAGTTCCACAGAAGGATTATGATATCAGTTTCGGAGCAGATCTTGTTCAAATTGTTGATTGGAATTGAAAGTTGAAACATAAGTTTCACATTCTCAATTCTAGGGTTTTAACTCTAGTTTTGGTTTTGAAGGCAAAATCAGCGTAGACCTTTTGAAATTGATTGATTCACGAAACAATCAGGATGGATTTATAGAATCAAAATAATAATATTATAAGTCTACTCGGGCAACGCCTTATGGCGTTATGCTGATTTGACAGCTCCCATAACGGCGTCATAACACCGGAACACCGCCCCCCTCTCATGTTATTTGGTGTTATGTTAAGAAATGTTACCATGACCACGGGAAGTAACGTGAGAATCAACCAATCAAAAGCCATTATCTCACTCTCTCTCTCACTCTCTTTGTATCTCTTAACATGTTATAACTGTTGAACACGACTCTTTATATGGGAAACAACAATACTTTTATTAAGACACTTAAGAAGAACTTACACTTTGTGAGACTACTACACACTTTGCTTTCTTTGAGGCTTTCTTGGATATTTGGATGTTGGGATTGTTTGGAGCAAATGAGCTCCACACCTATTTATAGGTGTTTCCACCTCCTTATAGGAAGTTTCTAGATCTACATACATTCATGACTATTCTAGAACTATCTACCATATTCTATATCTATTACAAGCTTTTATATGTTTCTAGAATGTTCTATAATGCCCTAGATAAGTATAGACATTCTTGTGCCTTCCATAGTGTTCTAGAATGTTCCATAGCCTTCCAAGGTCTTCCATCTCGTTCTAGAGTTTTCTAGAATCTTCCGACATCTTCTAGACTCCTCCATAGTATTCCATAATGTTCTAGAATCTTCCAGATCATTCTAGAACATGCTAACTTCTTCTAGACAATAACATGATTCTATTGGGCTAGTGATGACCTTCAACAATATAACATTTGCACACCATTTCCTATATAAATCAAATGGTGTTAAAGATGACATGGCATATGAGTTGGCAAATTTTGGGTATGATAACATGTCTTAACATGTTGCCCACACCCACCAGCCTAATAGTACTCATAGTTGAATTACTAAATTCGATTTGAATTCAATTGAACTACTGTGAAACTAAAGTACTTGTAAGTGAGTTGGATTCAGATTCTATACTAAACATTAAACAAAATCCAACAACTGAAGTATCAAAACATTGTGCATTTTCAAGGAAATTGCACTTTGACTCCTGTAATGAATTTGAATGTTTGATATATCCTTCTTTATGAACTTGCAGACGATCTATAAGATCAACTTTAGTGAGATTTATCTGAGTCAGCCATTGATGACAGAGTCAGATGGTGAAATCGTTCCATTGTTTCCAAAGGCAGCAAGACTGAGGAATCTGACATATTCTGCACCTTTGTTTGTTGATGTATCAAAGAAGGCTATAATGAAAGGGCATGATGGTGAAGAAGTGACAGAAACTGAAAATTTTGATAAGCTCTTCATTGGAAAGGTATGCCGAATGAAATTTTTGTACAATAAAGTGCAAGTGTTGAGTTGTGTAATCAATTTGTATGACACATTTCAGGTTCCTATAATGCTACGTTCAAGTTACTGTACATTATATAAGAATTCAGAACAGGACTTGATTGAGCTTGGTGAGTGCCCTTATGATCAAGGTGGATATTTCATCATCAATGGCAGTGAAAAGGTTCTAATTGCTCAAGAGAAGATGAGCACCAATCATGTGTATGTGTTCAAAAAGAGGCAACCGAATACATATGCTTATGTGGCAGAAGTTCGTTCAATGACAGAATCTCAGAGTAGAGCACCAAGTACAATGCTTGTCAGGATGCTTTCTCAGACTAGTGCCAGAGGGGTATGATATGTTGACAAAGGAAATAACAATGTACTTCCATTTGTTTGTTTATCATAGCATTCTGCTTTCATCTTTTCCTATTACATCATTGCACTTTGAAAAATCAAACCTGGTTATAGCAGTGTCATTCAAATACAAAGAAAATTTCACTGCTATAAGCCTATAACCACATAGTTTTTTTCAAAGTAAAATGTCTTAATAAGAAAAAAAATTGAAAGTATAGTGCTGTAACAGAAAGTAAGATGCTATGATACACAAATAAATGGAAGTAGGTTGTTCTTTCTCATGATTACTGGCAGGGCTCCTCGGGTCAATATATTTGTGCTACCCTTCCATATACCCGAGTTGATATTCCTATCATTATCGTGTTTCGAGCACTGGGATTTGTTGCTGATAAAGATATATTAGAATACATTTGTTATGATTTTGCTGACACTCAAATGATGGAGTTGTTAAGACCATCACTAGAAGAAGCATTTGTTATACAAAATCAAGAGGTATGCTTCTTCCCTTTTTCTCATTTTCTTTACAGTTTCCCAATCATTGTTTATGATTGATAAAATGAAATGTAAACTTCATAATTAATCACGACCATGGCTCTTTTTCTTTGTTCTATGGCAGGTGGCACTAGAGTACATTGGGAAAAGAGGTGTCCGTGCTGGTGTCACGAGAGAGAAGAGAATAAAGTATGATTTCAAATTTTTATTGTCCTTTTGTTTCAATATTATCTGTGTTTACAAGATTTGTTGTTTCACAGGTTTGCCGGTGATATTCTACAAAAAGAAATGCTTCCTCATGTGGGTGTTGGAGAGTATTGTGAAACAAAGAAAGCATACTACTTTGGGTAAAAACCTTATTTTTTTGTTATGTGCAGAAGAAGTGAATGCCCTTCTTGTGTTGTAGTTTCTATGTAGAAGTAACTTGTTTTTACTACTTTGGGTAAGCCTTATTATTATTATTATTATTATTATTTTTTTTGTTATGCACAAAAGACATGAATGCCCTTCTTGTGTTGTAGTTTGTATTTAGAAGTAATGCCTGGCTGCTTTTATCAGTTATATCATCCACCGTCTTTTGTTATGTGCTCTTGGTCGGAGGGTTGGGGATGATAGGGATCATTATGGCAACAAAAGGTTGGATCTTGCTGGTCCATTGTTGGGGAGCCTATTTAGAAAGGTGAGGTTTTAATTTTTTATTTTCTTTTCTTGGATTATTTTATTGATATGTTACATATGTATATGCATGTAACAACTTGTTACCTCTTGTGTTAATGCAGCTCTTTCGGCAGTTAACAAGAGATGTAAGAGCATATGTTCAGAAGGTAATCTCAAATTCTTCAAGTTTCATTGTTTCTTGTTTTTTATCTGGTCATTGAATCCGCTATATTTGATACTCTGCAGCGTGTAGACAAAGGGGCGGATGTTAATCTGCAAGTTGCAATTAAAACAGAAACGATAACCAGTGGGCTTACATATTCCATTGCTACTGGGAATTGGGGGAATGCAAATGCAGCTGGAACTAGGGCTGGTGTTTCACAGAAGTTGAATCGCCTGACATATGCATCCACATTGTCACATTTACGAAGAGTAATTTCACCTATAGGTCGTGAAGGTAACTTGTGTTATAATTTTTCTCAAAATGTCTGATGAAATTACTGTTTTTTGCTTTAGATTTAGTTCCATGGTGCATGTTGCTTTTTGTTTTAGCTTGTCTTAAATCTAGTTGTTTTAATATATAAATAGGAAAATTGGCGAAACCAAGGCAGCTGCATAACTCACAATGGGGAATGATGTGTCCTGCAGAAACTCCCGAAGGGCAGGTTAGTGTGCCAATTTGCTTTTATTATGATTTGTATTCCCAAGTGCTAATTTTCACTCCCAATAAATAGCAATGTACTTGTATTTATTTTAACTAATTATTTATTATAGCATTGAGCATTCTGCTTTCATTTCCTCTTATTATCTTATTACAGCATTGTACTTTGAAAATTCTACTCAGTTCTAGCTTTGTCATCCAGATACAAAGCAATATTCATTGCTCTAATAGGATAGATGCTTTAATTACAATATCCTGATAAGAAAAAACAAGTTAAAAAAAATCCAATCTTTATAATTGTGTAGTACATCTTAATAAGAAAAATATTGAAGGTACAGTATTCTTTGTAATAGAAAGAAATAAAGGTAGGAATGGGATGCAGTAATAAGAAATGAACGAAAGTACATTGCTATTTTATAATTAAGCAAAGGATTTTTGTGCCAATGGTGATCCTATGTTGTGGTTGTGGCTTATTATATTTATACTAGGCATGTGGACTGGTGAAGAATCTTGCATTGATGGTTTACATAACTGTCGGATCAGCTGCATCCCCGATTCTAGAGTTTTTGGAAGAATGGGGTACAGAAAATCTTGAGGTAAACATCACCAAGTTTTTGAAATATTATATATATATCTTACTAGTTACTATAATCTTTTTTACTTTTTAATTGGCTAATCTTTTATTTCTATATTAGGAAATTTCCCCTGCTGTTATCCCACAAGCTACAAAAATCTTTGTTAATGGTGTGTGGGTGGGAATCCATCGCAATCCTGACATGTTGGTGAAAACATTGAGGGGATTGCGAAGACGAGTGAGTAAAATTTTATTAGATTAAAATTACTAAAATTTTGGTAAATTATTGTTTATATGAATTGTTTTAAATGTCCAGGATGATATGAACATGGAAATTGGAATTGTCCTGGATACTCGTTTAAAAGAAGTTCGGATATATACTGATTATGGTCGTTGCAGTCGCCCGCTTTTCATTGTTGAAAAGCAAAGACTTTTAATAAAAAAGAAAGACATCCAAAATCTGCAACAAAGGGTATGTCTGTAAACTATTGTAATTTTTAAAAAATTATGGTTTATTTTCTTAATAACATCTTGTTTGTAATTATGGATTCACAGGAAACCCCAGAAGATGGTGGGTGGCATGATCTTGTATCAAATGGATTCATAGAGTATATTGATACGGAAGAGGAAGAGACCACTATGATTTCCATGACCATTAATGTAAGCAACAAAACAATACATGATATCAAGTTTGTTCTCTTTTTATGTTAAAAAAGTATTTAAGAAAATAACTTGGGAAATGGATGTGATGTAGGATCTTGTAAGTGCGAGGGAAAATCCTGGTGTGTCTTCTTCAGACACTTACACACATTGTGAAATCCATCCGTCTTTAATCTTGGGTGTTTGTGCCTCAATGATACCATTTCCTGACCACAATCAGGTAAGTTTCTATTCTAAATTATTATTGTTACATAATGAATGATTATTATATTTATCTTGTGGGATCAATATAATATATATATATATATATATATATATATATATATATATATTTTGTTTTATGTGTCAACAAACAGTCTCCACGTAATACGTATCAAGCAGCCATGAGTAAGCAAGCAATGGGGATTTATCTCACTAACTTCCAGATCCGCATGGTATGCAATGAGTTTCTTCTTAAATGCAAGAAATAGCAATGTACTTTCATTGTTTTATTTTATCATATTTTCATTGATCCTGTTTAGGATACATCAGCATACGTTCTTTACTATCCTCAAAAACCACTTGTAACTACTCGAGCAATGGAGCACTTGCACTCCCGAGAGCTTCCAGCTGGCATGGTGCGTATTTTCTAATTCTTACATATATATTTTATTTTTTATTTTCATATCTGAATACCATCCCTGAGTTTCTATTATCTCTTGTGTTAGAATGCAATTGTGGCAATTGCCTGTTATTCTGGATACAACCAAGAAGATTCTGTTATCATGAACCAGTCCTCAATAGACTGTGGCTTCTTCAGATCACTCTTCTTCCGTTCTTACAGGTTCTTTACTTGCTCAAAAGACATAAATACCCTCCCTCCAATCTATAGACTACAAAACTTAAGGGACATGTTTTTTACAGGGACGAAGAGAAGAAGATGGGGACACTTGTGAAGGAAGATTTCGGTCGTCCCAATAGAGCTAAAACCATGGTAAAATACACCAAACATTTGTGTTTTTGGTTTCTCTTCCAAAACCATTATTTTAACCTTTTTTTATAAAAAATAAAATAAAAAATACAGGGTATGCGACATGGTTCTTACGATAAATTAGACGATGATGGTCTAGCTCCCCCGGTTAGTACTACTGCCTGTTTTTTTTTTTTTTTTTTTTTTTTTTTTTTTTTTTTTTTTTTTTTTAAATCTGTACTAAATAAAACCACCCGATTGTTGAAATGTAGGGGACACGAGTTGGTGGTGAGGACGTGATTATTGGGAAGACAACACCGATTGCTCAAGGGCAAGCCTCCAGATACACTCACCGTGATCACAGTACAAGCTTACGTCATAATGAAACCGGAATGTTTGACCAGGTACTGCCCGATCTCCCTGCCCAGCTGCCCGTGTTTTTGAGTTGTTGGTTTAGTTGCTAAATATGGAAAAGTGGAATGCTGCAGGTGCTACTGACAACAAATGCTGATGGGTTGAGGTTTGTGAAAGTGAGGGTGAGATCTGTGAGGATCCCACAAATTGGAGATAAGTTTAGCAGCAGACATGGTCAAAAGGGAACGGTTGGGATGACTTACAGGCAAGAAGATATGCCATGGACTCTGGAGGGAATCACTCCTGATATCATTGTGAATCCTCATGCTATTCCTTCACGAATGACAATTGGTCAACTCATGGAGTGTATTATGGGCAAAGTTGCTGCACTTATGGGGAAAGAAGGAGATGCCATTCCCTTCACCGATGTCACCGTAAGTACTTTCAACTTTCAGTAAATAGCAACCTACTTTCATTCATTTTTCTTGTATTTTGAAAATTTTACTCAATTATGGCAATGATTGCATAGATTTTTCAAAGTATACTTGGGTATCATAATAAGAAAGAAGCTGAAATTTGCAATGCTATACTTGGGTATATTGACAAAGTACAATGCCTTAATGAGGATGAAACTGAAAGTACAATCTTGTGATATAAAGAAATGGAAGTAGGATGTTATAATACACACAAGTGAAAGTAGATTGCTATTTCTCGCATTATTCGTTCCATCTAGTTAAATTTCTCAACTTTAGTTCCATTTGTTTAGTTAATTTGACATTTTTGCTTTGTGGGTCGTGTTAAATGCAAAAAATAGCAACACAGTTTCATTCATTTGTGTATTATAGCAACAAGACTGTATCCTGAATTTTTTTTTCACAAACAATTTTCACTGCTATAAATGGCCAAAATTTTCAAAGTACAGTGTCGTGATAAGAAAAATATGAAAGTGAAAGGAGGTACAATTGGGTCCTAAGTAGAATGCTTTAATAAGAGGAAATTGAAACTATGATTATGTAGTAGAAAGAAATGCAAGTAAGTAGGATGTTATAGTACACAAAGAAAAGCAATGATAGTATGTTGCTATTTCTTGCAAAAATTGTAAACTTAAGTCGTATTTGTTTGGTTCGTTTGATGTGACAGGTGGATAACATCAGCAGGGCTCTTCACAGGTGCGGTTACCAAATGCGTGGGTACGAGACCATGTACAACGGTCACACGGGCCGACGGCTGAACGCGATGATATTCCTAGGGCCCACTTACTATCAACGACTTAAACATATGGTTGACGACAAGATCCATTCACGTGGACGCGGTCCCGTCCAGATCCTGACCCGCCAGCCCGCGGAGGGTCGTTCACGTGACGGTGGGCTTCGGTTCGGTGAAATGGAGCGCGACTGCATGATTGCTCATGGTGCGGCCCATTTCCTTAAAGAACGGCTGTTTGATCAGAGTGATGCATATCGGGTTCATGTCTGTGAGCTCTGTGGATTGATTGCAATTGCTAATCTTAAAAAGAATTCGTTTGAGTGCAGAAGCTGCAAGAATAGAACTAATATTGTTCAGGTACGTAACTATCAATCCCAATCCCATCCCGTTAATTTTTAGTATTTATTATTTAGGAACCATTTTTGAAATTTCTTTGAAAAAGATAATTAAATTGCTAGGGGGAGGCCCGAACTCGCGACCTCCACCCTTCTTCCATATTGCTCAACGACTTAACCACTTGAGCCAAAGGGACACATGGTTTTACCTTCTAAAACTCATATATAATAATAAAATCGATAAAACATAAACAATAAATAAATTACAAAAAACATTTTTTACATAATTTTTTTTAAATAAAAAAACATATTTTCCGTATTATATAAAAAAAAAAAGTTTTTATAAAAATTTTATATGTATTTATTTTACGTAAAATATGTTGTTTTATGTCTTTAAAAAATACTTTTTCTAAAAATCGTTTTTTGGTTATATGTATTTAAAAAATACTTTTTTTAAAATATGTTGTTTTATATGTATTTTTATGTATTTATTTTACATAAAATAATTTTGCCTTTCATTACAACGTAATAACATATTATACGAAAACATATTTTTTAAAGACAAAAAAAAAACAATTTATGTAAAATAAATACATAAAAAATATATATAAATTGTTTGTAAATTTATTTATTATTATTATTTTTTAATAATATGCTAAAATACATTTTGTTTTATTAAAAAAAAACAATGTAAAAAAATGTTTTTTTAATTAATTTTTTTATTTTTATTTTTTATCGATATTATTATTATATATAAGTTTTGGAAGGTAAAAACCAACTGACCCTTTAGCTCAAGTGGTTAAGGCGCTACACAATGTTAGACTCGTGGACGTCATGAGTTCCAGTCTCCTCCTAGCAATTTAATTGTTTTTTTCAAAGAAATTTCGAAAATGGTCCCTGTGGTTTAGCAAATATCATGAATTCAGTCCCTTTATACTTGAAAAGACGAAAATACTTTTGCAGATTCAGTCCCTAACAGCTAAATACTAACGGTGTTAGTAAAAAGGGCCATCAGTGCAAGTTTTGCAAACCATAAGGATCATTTGCATCAAAAAAAATTAATACGGACTGACTTCGTGACTTTTGGCAAACCATAGGGACCATTTTTGTAATTTTGTCAATATTTTATGATATGCATGTAGGTGCATATCCCGTATGCGTGTAAGTTGCTGTTTCAAGAGCTGATGGCTATGGGGATTGCGCCTAGGATGCATACCAAAGATGTGAAAGATATCAAGAAGAAAGAGGGTTGAGATGATTGGGACAAGTTGACTGAATTTTTGGAACTTGAATGTATATGAATTTAGTAGTTGATGTAAACCGTAAACCTACAGCAATAGCATATAATGCCCATGGAGATACCTATAGATGAGAATAGTGAATTACTATTCTCATTCATACATAGCATTTAACCAAACCAGCAACTATACTAGTATATGCTGAGAATTTTAAAATTCAATCGTTTCTTGTTTGTTATAAAAAGGTTTGGAGAACTTAAATGGATTAGAATTTTGGTGTTATTTTACGCAAAATAACACTATATTTTGATTCTTGTCGCCATAACAAGTCCACTTTGTAGTTTGAGTTGATTTCCGTATCAAAGTTTTAAGGGTGATAATGCTAATCTTTGAAATAAGTTGTTATTTTAGCCGATATATATTTTTAGTATTTTCCAAGTTTTTGAGTAATTTGATTTCCATTATTATTTTGTCTTTTTGATTCTAGATGTTACCTTTTCTATGTAAAGTAGTAACATGTTTTGATTTTTGTTCAAATTGCAACAAGTCCACTCAATAGTTTTGACATGCTTGATTGCTTCTGTATCCAAGATAAAGTGATAATGAAGACTTCAAAGAAAAGCCAGTCGGGACATTAAGGACCTAAGGGAACACCGCCCCACATGTGCCATTATCCTATACCTAATTCTCGAGTTTTAGCAAAGAAAAGAAAAGAAGAAGGAAAATATAGAGGAAAAGAAAAGAAGTTGAATGTTGGTGTTCTTGAGTTAGAAAGAAAAAAAAAACATTTCTTTAAGCCTACTTCCCTCAAAATCTCTCCAATTTGGGAGGAAGATTAGAAGAGAGATCACTTTTCTTTTCTCTTATTCCTTCCAAAAAATAATTTTCAAAACAAGATAGTTTTATTTTTTCTCTATAGTTTTCTTCACTTCTTTTTCTTTTATCTCCTTAAGTTGGACTCGAACAAGGTCTAGGGAATCAACAATTTCCAGGAAGATCTTCCCGATTTTTTTTCTTCTTATTTCATTTTTTACCTTGTGCATCATTATGGTACTGGGTGATCAGTTTATGTAAATTATTACGTATAATTGAACCAAATATTTACATAAATTATGTATTGTCATTGTATACATGTGTATTTTCGGCAACCGACATGCGATAATACTACGCTAGTTTGTATAAAAAGTCACAATTTTTTTTTATTAAATCCTAACTATTTACAATGGTATCCTTGTTTTTTATTCTTTTATTTTCTTAAGGTTGTTATGATTTTTTCAAATGTTTTCTTTACAACATTTATCTATATTACACATAATTAGAAAAATATATTCATGAATAATGTTAATGAATTAATGATCTAAATACAGGGCATGATGTAGTGCCGGAGAGAATATGACTAGGGATAACAAAAGATAAATTAAATATCCTCCTACATTTATTCCTACAAATCATCCTATCCAATTAAATGATGACATAGGAAAAGATAACCCTGAAACTTGGATAACAGTTATAATATTGTTTCTTAAAATAATTGATGAGTTTGAGATGCTTATTGTATTCCAGTTATACCCATACTAATACCTGATCCCGGACAATTTATATTTTTCTAATAGTTATATATTGACTTGCTAGTTATATTTTAGTATTATATATGATATACAAATGAGAAGTTTTTTTATGTAATTACTACTTATAATCTAATCTATAATATTAACCAAAATTTTTTATAATTCAAAATTAAAATAACAAAGTTCTTGACGCTAACATTCAAGAAAAGAACCAAGAAGCAATTGTCATGACTAACTATTTATAATCGGTTAAAGGACCAACATAACCACATATCGATACGTATCTCATTGTCATATCTAGGTTGAACTCGATCCACTGGCCACTGGTACACCAATAAGTGCCATTTTACTAAACTATTTTAGATCCATATAATATAAAATAAAATACATTACAAAAAATAAAAATGGATATAAAATTAGTTTTTTTATTTTATGTTATAATATTGTTTAGAGATTTGATTTCATAGCAAAATTCTATAATTCGACTTCCCTTTTTTGCAAGTTTTCTCAAGTCTCATCGGCACACACTCCACTCTCTAGGTAGAGGAGGTGTCTTTTTGGTCAGACGATTCAGATATTGAACTATAATGGAGGAAGACGACTGAACTCCATTAGGGCGGTTGTCACCACCAACACCAAAAAAGGTTAAGCTGGAGTCGGAAGAACCAAAAAAATTATAGAAGGCTGAAGATCATTCCGAAGATGAATATGAGGAAATTGAAGAAGAAGATGAAGATGGAGATGGAGATGGAGATGGATCATCACAGTTGCCGCAGTTATTAGACATGATTGACCTACCACCCTCTTCCACTTTACCTCCTACTCCGTCTTCCCCTAGAGGTATCTTCTCCTCTTTTCCCCAAATTCTGTTTCTATATTGTTTATGTGTTTTGATCTTTTTCTTTTCCTTTGATTGAGACTTGGATTAATGATATTGCCATATTTAAACATATTTTTAGGCAATATTTAAATACATTTTTATTAATATTTTGGTTATTTGCATTGAATAATGATACTTATAAGGTTAAATTGTATTTTGCAGCCAAATAGAAGACATTTTGAAGAAAAGGGACCAAAAGCGTCAAAGAAAGGAACTTTGGAAGATGGAGATTTGAAAGAATAAAAATCCAGCAAAAACACGCTCTCAGGACGTGAGTATTAGAGGTTCACGACGTGAGTTGGAATATTCCAGAAGATAAGCATCGCGAAAAAGAATCCTTGTCAAACACGGATAATTACGCTCTCACGACGTGAGGCATGCTTGCTCACGACATGAGCGTGGATAATTCAGAAAACTATATAATAACTTGATCCTTACGACTTAGGAAGTTTTTGGCTGGCCTTGAGAGTTCCACAAGTCGAAATCTGAAGAGGAGAAGGCCTGAAATTTTCTTTAAACACCAAGGGAGAAGAAGAGTTCATAATTCAATTTAGTTTGGTACTTTAATTATGTTTTTGAATATGAGTTATTTGTGTTTATGTGTTAGGATGTCCAGCTAAATCTAGCTACTTCTGTTAGTGATTATTAATCCGCATGAATTGGAATACCTATTAGACAAATGTTATATATATATTAGGCATTAATTACATGTTTATATTCTAGAGGGATCATAGTGTAAATATATCTATTATTAATACTTATGTAATCGTGACATTCTGAGAAGATATACAATTCACGTTTTACCAATTTAACTTGGTATCAGAGCCGCTATTCCCTAACCCTAAAATTGGCGCCACAGCAGCCCTCAAGATCATCAACCGCACTAGACAGCTACAATCATCCACATCAACCTGCACCTGTTTCTACTCTTTCTTCCTCTTTTCTCTTGTCGATCAGTACACATTGACATTAGCCAATACAATGGCGCCTCTCACAGCATTCACTACTGCAGAGAAAACAGCCCACAACTCTCATAAATTTGCCTTTACTTTGTCCCCAAACAACTATGGCTACTGGAAAACTATGTTACAGCCCTTTCTGGTTACAAACAACCTGTTCGGGTATGTTGATGGCACCATACAGTGCCCACCAGCCACCATCGTGTCCACCACCCCTACAGGAAAAGAAGGCGACACCATGACCACATCCACATCTACTACTAACCCTTGTTACAATACATGGGTCTCTAATGATGCGCATGTTCGAATGCTTATTCTGTCCACCATCTCTGAGACGTCTTTTCAGCATGTTCAAGGTAATACATCACGTGATCTTTGGCTGTCTTTAGAAAGTGCTTATGCTCCTCATACTTCTTCTCGTGAATATACTCTTAAAACCCAACTTCTGAAAATCACAATGAAAGAAGATGAGTCCTCATCTGCTTACTTAACCCGTGCACAAGAGTATTCTAATGCTCTTGCTAATATTGGCGAACCAGTTAAAGAAAAGGACCTTGTCATGCTGGTTATCTCTGGCTTAAGAGAAGAATACAATGGCTTGAAATCTACCCTTTTAGCAAGACAGTCTCCAACAGCCTTTGCTGAACTTCATGGTCTACTGTCCGACCATGACTACATGATTACAAAGACCTCCACAGTGATGCCACCAGCCCAAGCGTTCACAACCACCACTAGACAGCCCGGTTCCATGGCTGCTGGTTCGTCTCTATCACAAGATGAAGCAATCCAAGCTGTTCAAAAGCTTGCACAACAGCTGGGGTTACAGCTCCAGCCAACTAATTCAACATCAGCCCAAGCTTTTTACACAAATCGATCAGGAAACAATCGCAACAGCCGATCAACAAACAACCGTGGGCGTGGCAGCTACAACAATCGTCCACAAGGAGGAGGTAATAGAAACCAATTTAGTTGGGCATCTAATCAAAATACTGTGTATGGTACATGTAACAGGTGCGGTATTGGGCATGTTCCGTCTCAATGCCCTAATCGAGATCCCTCCACCATACGTGTGAGACAACAACAACCATCCGCTAATTTTGCAGATTATCGATCCCGGGCCTCCTCTACCTGGGTCACTGATACTGGGTCTAGTCATCATGTTGCATCCGATCTCTCGAGCTTTGATCACTCCGAGGCATACCATGGCCATGACAACTTACATGTTGGCAACGGTAAAGGTTTACCCATTCTCCATATTGGCTCCTCTAAACTCTATTCTCCTAATAAAACTTTTCATCTCTCACAAATTCTTCATGTTCCAGAAATCAAACAAAACCTTCTTTCTGTTCAAAAATTCTGCGATGATAATAATGTTTATTTTGAATTTCACACTTCCTTTTTTGCTGTGAAGGACGAGAATACTCACACTACCCTCCTCATGGGTCCAAGTAGTGGCGGCCTTTACTTCTTCCACCTTCCGCAGTTGCAGTCTACCTCGTCTAAAGTTGCTTTCTCCGCTACTCGTGCTTCTTCCGTCACTTGGCATCAACGACTTGGACATCCCCATCCGCAGCTGTTGAAGTCAATGATTTCTAGATATAGTTTACCTTTATCAAACAATTTTGTCAATTCACCTTGTGATTCTTGTTCTATTGGAAAATCTTCAAAACTTCATCTATCATCTTCTAATTATAAAAGTTCTCATATTTTAGATTTACTCTTTTGTGATGTTTGGGGACCAGCCCCTGTTACTTCTTTTGAAGACCATCGATATTTCTTACTATGTGTTGATCATTTTTCTAGTTTTATGTGGATTTTTCCCTTAAAATCCAAATCTGATGTCTTTAGTACTTTCCAACAGTTTCTTCTTACAGTAGAACGACAATTTCAAACCAAACTAAAATCTCTTCAAACTGATTGGGGAGGTGAATTTCGAAACCTCTCTAAGTTTTTCTCATCTCTCGGCATTACTCATCGCTTGTCTTGTCCTCACACGAGTGAACAGAATGGCGTTGTTGAGCGTCGTCACCGTCATGTGGTCGAAACCGGCCTCACTCTTCTTGCTCAATCCGGTGTTCCACAACGGTTTTGGCATTATGCTTTTGACACAGCCGTCTATCTCATAAATCGTATGCCTTCTAGAACCAACTCCAATATCTCACCTTTCGAACATGTTTTCAAACACAAACCTGATTTTTCCTTTCTTCGTGTGTTTGGTTGTTGATGTTATCCACATCTCCGTCCGTATAACAAGCATAAAATGGATTTCAGATCTCTTCCGTGCATTTTTCTTGGATATAGCACCTCCCACCATGGTTATCGGTGCTTTGACCCTCTTTCCGAACGCCTTTATATCGCTCGTCATGTTCGTTTTCATGAACAATTATTCCCTTACCAAATCAGCCCATCATCTCCACCCACATCTTCCTTTGATCCTTATACATCCTCTTATCCTACTCCTGTACCTGACATATCAACTCCTTCCAATCCATCCCCTACACCTCCTACGTCACCTACACCATCTCCTTCCAATACATCCCCTCCACCTCCTATATCACCTACACCATCTCCTTTCAATACATCCCCTACACCTCCTACATCACCTACACCATCTCCCGCATCATCTTCTTCCCCTATATCTCCACATGAACCTCCTCTTCCGCCTCTCCTTTATACCTTTGCTCGACGCCCTAAAACTACCACCACCTCTCAACCAGAAAACACCACATCTCAACTAGCACATTCTACCTCCCAACCCGACAGTTCCTCCTCTCTACCTCGTCCTCGTCCCTCTAATTTGCGTCCTAATCCTAAACTCTCTCAACCATATAGTTCGGCCTCCTATCATACTACTACTGTTCCTACCGAACCAGCCACCTTTAACGTTGCTAACAAATCGCCTCAATGGCGTCAGGCCATGGCCGACGAGTATTCTGCTCTTCAGCGCAACAACACCTGGTCCTTAGTTCCTCCTCCATCGAATGCTAATGTTGTTGGTTGTAAATGGGTCTATAAGCTCAAACGTGATCCAACTGGGGCAATTACACGTTACAAAGCGCGTCTTGTTGCAAAAGGTTATCGTCAGCAACATGGTCTTGATTATCATGAGACTTTTAGTCCCGTTGTCAAAGCGACTACAATTCGGGTGGTTCTATCCTTGGCAGTCTCACACAGTTGGCCCTTACGACAACTTGATGTTCAAAATGCCTTCTTACATGGCGATCTCACAGAGACAGTCTACTTGCAACAACCATCGGGTTTTGTTGATCCGGACAAACCTGATCATGTTTGTCTTCTCCACAAGTCTCTCTATGGACTTAAGCAAGCTCCCCGAGCATGGTTTCATCGGTTGTCAACTGCACTTCATGCTCTTGGTTTTCGTGGATCTAAAACGGATCCTTCGCTGTTTATATACTCCTCTAACGGTGTTCTCTTGTATATGCTTGTTTATGTTGATGACATTATTCTCACAGGAAATAGTACCGCTGATATCGACCGGGTTGTTCAGCATCTTAGTCGCATTTTTGCTCTACAAGATTTGGGGTCGTTATCTTACTTTTTGGGGGTTGAAATTATTAAGCAGGGGTCCGACATTGTTTTGTCTCAAAGAAAATACATACTCGAGCTACTTGAACGTGCGAATTTGTCTAATGCCAAATCTGTGCCATCTCCGATTACTACCACCGCCAATCTTGCCCTTGGCGACAGTCCACCATTTGAAGACCCGGTTAAATATCGTCAAACAGTTGGTGCACTTCAATATGTGACTCTTTCACGGCCGGATATTTCGTTTGCGGTAAACAAAGTGTGTCAATTTATGCACTCTCCGACTCAGAATCATTGGTCTGCGGTTAAACGCATTTTGCGTTACTTACTTGGCACAGTAACAAGTGGACTTTTATTTCAGCGCAATTCCGATAGTGTTCTTCATGCTTACACAGATTCCACTTTTAATGTCTTGAATGCTTTCTCTGATTCTGACTGGGCTGGTTGTCCGGATGATCGTCGATCCACTGGGGGATATGCTATATATCTCGGTTGTAATCTTGTCTCATGGTCTGCTAGGAAACAAAAGACTGTCTCGCGATCATCAACAGAATCCGAGTACAAAGCCTTAGCCGATACAGTTGCTGAACTCACATGGCTTCAAACTCTTCTACATGAACTACGATTTTCTACTCGTACTGTTCCAGTTCTATGGTGTGATAATCTTGGTGCTACATACCTATCTGCTAATCCTGTCTTTCATGCTCGTACCAAACATGTTGAAGTTGACTTTCATTTTGTTAGAGAAAAGGTTGCTCAAAAACAACTCCTGGTTCAGTTCATCAAAACAGATGACCAGATTGCAGATGTGTTCACTAAACCACTGCCTTCTCAACGTTTTCAGTTCTTGCGGTCCAAGCTAAGAGTCGCTCCCCGACCTTAGCTTGCGGGGGAATATTAGACAAATGTTATATATATTAGGCATTAATTACATGTTTATATTCTAGAGGGATCATAGTGTAAATATATCTATTATTAATACTTATGTAATCGTGACATTCTGAGAAGATATACAATTCACGTTTTACCAATTTAACTATACCTAATAATTTAGCGAACACTAGATTATTAGAGCTATGATCAAACCAATCTTAGATAAGTAATTGAAATATTGAATTTAGCTGTGCTAGAGAACTCATATTATGAATATTTATAATTTTTTTCTCTACAAATAAAGACCAATATTCATATGTTTTTATATAGTTTTAATTATTTTATAATATTAAAATGTTGGGTTGGTTTGGTTTGTTAATGGAGCTGATAAAAATTGTTTTAGTTGGTTGGGTATATAGATGAAAGAGAAAATATCCTACCTAATAAATAGAACTTTTTGTGACATGTCCTCTTCTCCTTCATTTGGACACATGACATTTTCTAGAATTTTTAAAATTTTCTATTTTCCACTTGTCATTTTATTGTATTTTTCATTTTGTTAAATTAAAATTCCAAATTTAATATGTAAGGTAATATATATGTAAGATATTTATTAGAAATGGTTTATATATGTAATGTATTCAATACATTAAAGCCTTATTAATTTTAATAATTCAAAATATTTCTCATTTTTCTTATAAATTCAAACTTTTTAAATTGTTAAAATTTCATATATATATATATATATATATATATATATATATATATATATATATATATATATATATATATATAAATAAACCCACGTAATACATAAGTCTCACACCTAGTATTTTAATAAATGGTTGGGTTGATTTTAGTTGTGAATGAGAATAGTCTTAGAAGCTTTGTTTTTTCTTGCAATCTTTATTGCTTTAGTTTTTACTGCTCTGGCTTAGCGAGCATGTTTGATTTAATGTTTGTGCTTGATTCAGCCTTCTAAGACTTGTGTATTTTCTTCGAGCAAAATGGCCAAATTGTTCTTTGTTATACCCATATGCATGCTTTTGTCTTGACCAACATATAGACCAAAGATAAGGCCCGTTTGTTTGTTCGGCATAGCAGGATGGTCTTAAAGTGTGTTCCAACTTTTTTGTTCCACCAAAAAAGATGGAAGATGGACTCGTTCTTGATCTCTTGTATGTGCAAATGACGTGAATGTCATCATTATAATCAATATAAATAGGCATACAAAGGTTGTCCATTCCCGCCAAGCCCTATCTATATAACAAACGCAACTTAAGTAGTGTGTGTTATATTTACATTTGTGATTTCTATTGTGAAGAGTTCATATCCTTTTTGTAATTTTAAAACTGTTAAGATGAATTAATAATAATAGTTTTGGCGTGCTAGGGTGGGCATGGTTTTAGCATGGGACATCAGTTGATTTTTCTAATGAATATGTCGGGGGCCAAACACTCTCATATTCTTATTTAGAGTCGTATATAAATGGGTGGAGGTAATTCCAGATTTGTGTAATCTACTTGATGATTGTTTGATGATCATGTATATTTATGAACATGAATTAATAGAAATAAAAAAAACTTGAAAATGAAGGCAAAATCTAAAAGAATGTCATAAAATGAACTTATTAAAACTAAGTTAAAAGACTATTGGGAAGATATCAACCGCTTCTCCATCAATACTGTTTAAGCCTAAAATACTATTTATTTCCTTTAATCAAATACATTAAATACTATTTATTTCCTTTAATCAAATTCAGTTAAAACGTTAACGCATGAGTTACACAAAGTTATTGTTTTTTTATATTAAAAGTACAATACCACATTAACATCTTGTTGTAAATAGCTATATATCTCTTGATGACTTATCTATTGCAAGAAAAACCATGTGTGTATCTAGTTTATGGTACAACCAAACTCCATATCACATCACAGATACATAAACATTTACCAAATAAGAATATGACATGACAGAAAATACACTTTGTTGACCCCTCATGTATGATTAACGACAAATTTTGTTATGTTGTTCGACAGAGGGACCACTTTTGTATTGTTTTCTGCCATGGTGACCAATTATGTAATTATTTTGGAACTAATTTGTTAATCTTCCGAACAAGGATCTCTTAAAAAGTCCCTTCAAAAATAAACTATTAGAGTAGTGGTTTCTGAGTTTTGTTATGTTGTTCGGCAGTGGGTAATGGTTCTTTACCGTTATCTTATTCAGTTCCCGGTAATCTATACACATCCGATGCTACCCGTCCTTCTTCTTCACAAACAGGATCGGGGTTCCCCAAGGCGAACTGCTCGGCCTGATAAATCCCTTGTTTAGCAGCTGCTGCAGCTTTATAGACAACTCCTGCATCTCGGGAGGAGCCAACCGATATGGTGCCTTGGCTATCGGAGTCGCATCGGGGACTAGGTCGATCCGGAACTCCACCTATCTCTCCGGAGGTATCCCAATCAAATTCTCTGGAAACATGTCCGAGTACTCTCGCACCACTGACACATCGCTCACAGTCACCTTACCCGCTTCCCGGGTATCCATAACGTAGGCGACGTACCCTACGCAACCCTGTTGAAGGTAGCACCTAGCCCTCGCTGCTGAGCATAGAGCTGGTCCTCGCTGTGGCCTCTCGCCCTGAACTACTAACTCTCCCCCAGTTGCGGTCCTAATACGCACCAGCTGTTGTGCACAGTCGATCACCGCCCCATTAGGGTTCATCCAGTCCATGCCGATGATGACCTTGTTCCCCCGCAATGGAATGGGAACCAAATCCACGAGGTATCACTCGTCATACAA